TGTCGGCCTTGGGCACCCGATACTTTGGAGTTCTCCTGGGATTCCTGGGGAGTTTGCATTGGTTGATGAACTTCCGGTGGAGGGAGTTCCAGTTTGTGAGGGGCCACATGGGTGGGTGGGTGTTCAGAGTTCCCGGGGAGTGTGCGTGGAGTGCTGTTGGAGTTCAGGCAATAAAGTTTCCTGTTTGAACTTACAAGTGCTTTGTGGTGGCTCGGTGATTTTTGCCCAGCCAGACTGTGGCAACCCAGTGCCTCATACATGCTAGCAAGCACTCTAGCTCTGAGCCACAACCCCAGCCCTGCCTTCATTATTGAAGGATCATTTTTTCTGGATATAAAAACTGGGTTTCTGCTCTTGAGTTTCTGTTGTTGTTTTTATGTTGTTGTTGCTGTGTTTTGTTTTCAGTGCTTTAGAGAAGTTACTCCATTGCTTTCTCTGATCCCTTGTTGGTCATTCATATTATTATTTGAATGTGTATGATATATCATTTTCCTCTGGCTGTTGCCAAGATTTACTCCATTGTTGGTTTTCGTACACTAGGTTGTGCCCCACGTTAATTACTCTGAGGTCTATGCTCTGCCTCCATGTGATTGGTATGATTTTCTTAGTGTTTTTTGAGATTCTTGGATCTATAACATTCTTTGCCACCATCATTTTCTGGACATTTTTATTCAACAGTTTTTCAAATGTTTTTTTCTGCCTCTCTCTCTCCATCCCTCCCATCTTTCTCCTGCTTCCAGAACTAATTACACATACGTTAGATCAGTTAATGTCGTACCACTGGCCACTGAGGCTCTGTTCACGTTTACTTCCCCCATGGTGTTTATTTCTCTCTACTCTTCAAATTGAATTGTTTCTGTTCATCTTTAACTTGATCATTTCCTTCTATGTCTTTAATGTTAAGTCCATCAGAGAATATTTTGTTTCAGAGATTACACTTTTCTTTAAGATTCCCATTTGTTTCTTTCTCAGTTTGAACTTCTTCTTCCTCTTTATTCATTACAACCATATTTTTAAGTCCTCAAATATATATATATATATATTCAGTAGCTTCTTTAAGGTCTTTGTTACTTAAGTATTTGGTTACTCAGGATCATTCCCTTTTGAATAACTTCCTTGACTACGGGTCACATTTCCCTGTTTCTGTACCTAATTAGTACATGTTCATTTGACAGTAGGCATTGTGAATGGTACGCTGTAGGAACTCTGGGATCTTATGTTCTCCTCACGATGGCTGCTTCTATTCTAGCAGGCTGTCAACTTGATTGGACTCGAATTGTGAGCTGTCTCTCCTGCAGCGGGCTGTGCAGAAGTCTCGCTCCTCTTCTTCAGTGTGATAGCTGTTGCCTTCAGCCTGGTCCCTCGGGATCTCCACACATGCGCTTAATTCTGAGAAGCCAAGAATTAGGAGTTTACATGTGCAGATTTTGGTGCTCCTCTCTCTGAGGCTCTCTCTTTCCTGAGACTCTCCATCTGCTCTGGAATCCTAAACTCCATCCTTTGACTCTTGCGTGTGCTCCAGCACCCCCCCCCCCCGGCCCCAATAACACACTGATGGGTGAGGTTTCCCAGGTCAGAAACCCTACACAGACAGATCTCTCCTACCACACTTCCCTTCTTTCAAGGTCAGTGCTCTTCTGGATTTCTGCCCACTTTTGGTTGATCATTTCTGCCTTCAAATTATTATTTATAATATTTTGTCTATAGTTTATCATTATTATCCATAAAAGGGGCTGGGGTTGTGGCTCAGTGGTAGAGCACTCGCCTGGCATGCATGAGACACTGGGTTCGATCCTCAGCACAACACAAATGTAAAATAAAGATATTGTGTCCATCTAAAGCTAAAAACTAAATATTTTTTAAAAAATTATCCATAAAAGGCTATGTTATAGACTACTCCACCATTACCAGAAGCGTACGTAACCCACCTTTAAATGTGAAGGATATTTTTTCAGAGTTCAGGATTCGTGTTGGCAGTCATTTTCTTTCATTGGAGTTTTCTGCTTAAAACACAGTTGCCCCTGAGAGAATGATACCGTTGCTGATGGTGACCTAAAAGACGGTGAGTGTGGAGACCAAGGAGAAGGTGATGCAGGACAGAAGCAGAAGCCTCCTGTGGAAGAGGGGGAGGCAGGAAGGCTGGAAAGGGAGGT